GGAGGCTAAGTCGGGTGGATCACTTGAGGTCAGGAGTTCAAGACCAGGTTAGTCAACACGGTGAAAACCCATCTCTACTAAAAATGCAAAAATTAACCAGGTGTGGTGGCACACACCTGTGATCCCAGCTACTCAGGAGGCTGAGGCAAGAGAATTGCTTGAACCCAGGAGGCAGAGATTGCAGTGAGCCGAGATCGTACCACTGTATTCCAGCCTAGGCAACAGAGCGAGACTTCATCTTAAAAAAAGAAATAAAAAAAGTCTTAAATATTATATGTGAAATTGGGGAAGAGGACTGAGAATTTCTACTTTCTGCATCTTAGTACTGCTTGAGTTGCTTTTTATGTGTTTGTTTTACAGTGAACACATACTGCTTTTTTTTAGAGGCACTTATTTTTTTCCAGTCAATTGGATCACTCATAAATTATTGCAGATAGGAATTTTTCTTGCTTATTCTTTAAAAATAGATTTAATGCAGTTTTATAAATTTCTTTATCTATTTCAGTGTTTCATAACTGTTTCTTTGATGATGCTTTTTAAACCCAGTTTTTTAGTAGGAAGCTTGCCATCATACACATGAATATGCATGTTTAATAATAATAGCTGTTCTTTATTTAAGCAATCACTATGTGCCAGACCATATTCTAAGCATTTGATATGTATTAACCCATTTAACCCTTATAACAATGCTCTGAGTAGTCCAATTTACAAATGAAGAAATGAAGCATAGGAAGTTTAAGAAACTTTGCTCACGTACAGCCTATAGGCATATCGAATTCATATAAAGAATGCTCCCTGCACTTGAATAACACTGTCATGTTCCTTCTCAATCTTCTCTTCTCAATGCAAAATGATCCTGCTTTCCATTTCTATTCTTTTGCTTAGGAATTATCAATATGAAGTTTATATGTTAGGAGAGGGATACGTGGATGCATATTTCCTAATTTGTTCCCATAAAGGGCTTACAATCTAGTTAGAGAAATAGGACACGTAAATTTAACATCAATAAAGACGTGGAGTGTTCTGTAATAGTACATGCCTAGGCTCCGATGAGTAATGTGCACGGCGGGGCTGCCAAGATCAGGATAGATTTACTTTGTAGGAAAATGAGGCTCCCTGCGGATGATGAGTAGGCTCTGTTTAAGACAGTAACCAGCAGACTTGCTCTGAAACCCAGCTCTCAATCCAGTTTCACCAAGAAACATTAGAAGACTATTTCTATGTACCTACTTTTCAAATATGACCAGATATTAACATTTTAATGGATACAAAATAATGTCATTTTCCCATGGCTTCTTTCTTTTCTTTTCTTTCTTTCTTTTTTTTTTTTTTTTTTTTTTTTTTTTTGAGATGAAGTCTCCCTCTGTTGCCCAGGTTAGAATGCAGTGGCAAAATCTCGGTTCACTGCAACCTCTGCCTCCTGGGCTCAAGCAATTCTCGTGCCTCAGCCTTTGGAGTAGCTGGGATTACAGGTGCCTGCCACCATGCCCAGCTAATTTTTGTATTTTTAGTAGAGAGGGGGTTTCACCATGTTGGCCAGGCTAGTTTTAAACTCCTGACCTCAGGTGATCCTCCTGCCTCAGCCTCCAAAGGGCCAGGATTACAGGCATGAACCACCATGCCCGGTCTTTTTTTTTTTTTTTTTGAGACAGATTCTCGCTGTCACCCAGGCTGGAGTGCAGTGGCACGATCTCCGCTCACTGCAACCTCTCCCTCTTGGGTTCAAATGATTCTTGTGCCTCACCCTTCTGAGTAGCTGGGATTACAAGCATGTGCTACCACCCCTGGCTAATTTTTGTATTTTTAGTAGAACTGGGGTTTTACCATGTTGGCCAGGCTAGTCTTAAACTCCTGGCCTCAAGCAATCCACCTGCCTTGGCTTCCCAAAGTGCTGGAATTACAGGCGTGAGCCACTGCACCCAGTGGCTTCTTTCTTTTTTGATAGAAAAATGCCAGAAATTTCAGAATAGTCATTATTAGCCCACAATTATTTTTGTTTTCAGTGAAGAAAAAAGAAAAGAAAAAAAAGTCATAACTTTTTTTTCCCCCTGGCTGTCCTTAAGGATTTTAAACGTTTCCTCACATATGTTTTATGGAAAGCAAGGAAAAATATAGTGTAGAAGCTAAGCTATATAAAGGTCAGTGAGTAAACTTTCAATATGAGCAGAGCTTTTTAGAGCAGGGATAAGCAAACTTTTTCTGTATGTGGTGAGAGTAAAATCGAGGGTCTGTAGGCCACATACGGTCTCTGCTGCAGCAATTCAACACTGCTCTTGTAGTATGAAAGCAGCCATAGACGATGTAGAAAGGAATATGCATGGCTTTGTTCCAGTAAACTTTATTTACAAAAACAGTCAGCAGACCATAGTTTGCCAGCCTCCTCTGGAAAGAGCAGTTAGAGAGAAAGGTAGTGCCTTGAATGCCAGTCTAAGAAACGTATATTTTATTTCTTCAACGACAGAGGATTTTAAAGACATCACTTTTTTTTACCCTGAAGAACCCAGTTTATGTGTTTAATATGCCCCCTTTTGTCATCAGATTTCATCCAAGTTACTATTAAAAGTTGCCAAGCAAGCTAAGCTGTGGCCTCAGGCAGATGGCTGAAACAATAATGCAGTAAGATTTGCTTTCCAATGCCTTAAGAATTTGCATTTGTGTACCTTGAGTCAGTTGGGCTAAGAGGGAAATAGCAGTTTGTTCTTCTTACTCTGATAGATACATGAAGATGGGCTCCACGGGTAAGGGAGGTTAGGACAAGCCACTGAATACAGTTGGGGGAAATGTCTGCAAGGCCATATTATTTTTTGTCTGATTTGCAAGACTTATGTCTTGTAGATTTGATCATAACCCTGAGAAATATTGGCAGACTAGTCTGTCAGGAAGTAATTCTACCCAAACTCACACAGGAACATTTTGAATACTGCTGAGAATCCAAAGTCAATAGGGTTGCCAGGATGAGCAAATAAAAATCTAGCTAAATCCAGGACACCCAGTTAAACTGGAATTTGCTCAACAAAAAAATGTAAGTATAATTATGTCCCATTCACTATTTGGAACATACATAAACTAAAAAATTATTTGTTGTTTATCTGAAATTCAGACTTAGCTGGGAATCCTGTATCATAACTGGCAATCCTAAAAATGAAGATAAATGAATAAATAGTTTCTTGCACTACATAAATTACATCATTATGTCACTTGATTAGTACCCTTCACCAAGGATTTTTTTTTTAATTGTGGGAGTCTAATGACAGTTGAATCTCATTACTTCCAACCTCACTGTTTTAGAATTTTGATTATTTATGCAAAAGCTATGCTAAAGTGTACTTTATTCTCTTCATGAATTTAGGAAGCCTATTTGTCGTTGATAGTACAAATAAAACTGAAAGAAAACTATTTATCTCCTTGGGAGACTACAAATAGTGTAATTACCTTTTAACCAGAAGCTATCGTTGTTTAGAATGTGCTTTTCATTTAATAATTATAGATCATTCTCAGTTATTCATTGAAATAAGTCAAGACTTTACCAGGCAGAGTCAGGTGCAGCCACTTAAGTCCTCATGGCCCTCTTTGCATCCCATCTGCTCCAGTTCACAGTGTGTCTTGCCAGTCTCTCCTATACCATTGTGTTTGTTTTGTTCCTTATCTCCTCTAGAGCCTCACACAATGCTTGCTACTGAGAAGGCACACTATAGATGTTGACTAGTTGTGGCTGGGAGGCCGAGGTAGGTGGATCCCTTGAGCCCAGGAGTTCAAGACCAGCCTATGTAACATGACAAAACTTCATCTCTACAAAAAATACAAAAATTACCCAGGTGTGGTGGCGCATACCTGTGGTCCCAGCTACTTGGGAGGCTGAGGTGGGAAGATGACTTAAGCCCCAGGAGCTCAAGGCTGCAGTGAGCCTTGATCATGCCACTGCACTCCAGCCTGGGCAATAGAGCAAGATCCTGTCTCAAAAAAAAAAAAAAATTTACTAGTTGAATTAATGAATAAATGCTACCTGCCTCTGTTAAAATAAACAAGCTGTCTTTGTTTCAAAATTTTCTTACATTTAAAATTTTAAAGATAATTTGAGTTGGTCTTTCCTTATTCCAAATTTTAGTACTTAAAGGGAATTTTGGGTAAAGTTAGTTTCATTTCATAGGGACTTTCAGAGGCTAAGAATGAAAACATGTTCTTGAACTTGCAAATGTGTATTACAAGGAGAGAGATGGAGAAGTACTGGTAAAGTCACCGTGAGCACCCCTGTGAGCTTTCTTCTTGTGTAGGACCATGGGTCTCAAACTATCAGGATATTAGCAGGGTGGAGCCTGCAGTCTTCCTTACTTGCCCCTGCTGGCCATGATTATGGATGTATGTATATGTATACACACACACATACACATGTACATACATAGATATACATACATACATAGATATACTTAAATAAATCCCCATATGTCTTCCAAGGAGATGGAAGTATTGTATCACTACCAATTATGGCTATCACTGATAAATAATACATTAGTGACTTGAAACAAATATGTAGACATTCACACACTTTAAGCCACGTTTTATCATTAGAGATTACTGTATACAAGCCATCTGAAAGACCCTTGAGAACTACCAGTGAATTCTGGAGCACTCTTGAGGGAAATTAGACATGAATGGTTTGTGTGTGGAACAGGTAACATCAGAATTTCTATTGCCTGGAAACATATTCAAGTGAACTTGTTCTTAGTTTCCATCAGTAGCTTTTTTCTTCTCTATTTTCTCCAGCAGAGTAAAAGGATTCCCAGGAACTGTGAGATTAGGTATTAAATCTCCATCTTTCTTCTCAGTCTTACCCATGTCCCTAAAGCATCTTTCCCTAGCAGTCGATGATAATTTAGGAGGCTGCACTGAATCCATGTCAGGGCTGACACAACTGGGCATGCAGTTCCTTGGATATGATCCTTTCTTCTAAGAGAGTCGAGTCATGGTCTGACTATTCCTTTTTGTTTTTCCTTTCCTCACAGCACCCTGGAGGGTTATTATGTGGATGATGCCTTGCAGGGCCAGGGAGTTTACACTTATGAAGATGGGGGAGTTCTCCAGGGCACGTATGTAGACGGAGAGCTGAACGGTCCAGCCCAGGAATACGACACAGATGGGAGACTGATCTTCAAGGGGCAGTATAAAGATAACATTCGGCATGGAGTGTGCTGGATATATTACCCAGTAAGCCGTGTGACTGTTCACTCTGCTGGAAAGTAACGTATTGTGACTCTTCACAATGAAGAGTAGAATGTATTCTGTGTTAGAACTTGGGAGCTGTGAAACCTGAGAGTCACCATAGCTGACGCCAAGAGTTTATGAGGCATGGCCTCTCACTGTTACTCACTATTGGCTTAGATTGTTGGCCCTTGAATCCATTATTAATTATTTTTCAGCATTGTTTTGGAAAGGAGTAATTAATCATGATTAAAACAAATTGGGACAAATTGGTTTTATGGTATCACTAATAAAGGCAAAATACATTGCTTTTAATTCTTTTGGCACATAGAGGGAGATGGTGGAAAATTTTATTGTTGCTATTAGTTTTATTCCCTGTTTCTCATATGTAAAAACCAGTCCAGCCATTTTTAATTTGGGGGAGCTTACTGCACTGTTGTTACTTGATTTTATAATTCCACTAACTACTTTTTAGGGTGTTTTATGGTTTATATTGTTTAAATTAAGGTGATTAAAAATAACTCACCTTTGAGTATTTGATAGCATTTTATTATATTTCTGGAGTCTATTAAAGTAAAAAGATATGGCAGAACCCATGGTTGGAAATTAATGCTCAAATTTTTGTTTGCATTTCAAATGTCCCATCTGTTGTTAGTGAATTTCCAGAAAATGTTTCAGAAAATAGACCTTAGAAAACACTATTTTTATTTTATTTGATTTTTTATTTATTGAGACAGGGTCTTGCTCTGTTGCCCAGGCTGGAGTGCAGTGGCACAATCTTGGCTCACTACAACCTCCACCTCCCAGACTCAAGCCATCTTCCCACCTCAGCCTCCTGAGTAGCTGGGATTACAAGCATGTGCCACCACATCTGGCTAATATTTTTGTTTTTTTTTTAAGGACAGGGTTTCTCCATATTGCCCAGGCTAGTCTCAAACTCCTGGGCTCAAGCAATCCACCTGCCTTGGCCTCCTGAAATGCTGAAATTATAGGCACGAGCCACCACACCTGGCCAGAAAATATTTTACTTAATATTTTATTTTGTTCGTAACTTAAGTCAAAATACTTTTTTTGTTTTGAGACAGAGTCTCACTCTGTTGCCCAGGCTGGAGTGCAGTGGTGCCATCTCGGCTTACTGCAACCTCCACCTCCTGGGTTCAAGCAATTCTCCTGCCTCAGCCTCCCAGGTAGCTGGGATTACAGGCACATGCCACCACGCCCAGCTAATTTTTTGTATTTTTAGTGAAGATGGGATTTCACCATGTTGGCCAGGCACTGGTCTCAAACTCCTGACCTCGGGTGATTTCCTTGCCTCGGCCTCCCAAAGTGCTAGGATTACAGGCGTGAGCCACCACGCCCAGCTGAAAATACGTTTTTTACTCTGAAACCTTATGACTAAAAAGTTCTAATACAAAGAAATGATTAGTTACATAGTTAAGAAAAGTAATCCCAGCTAAATCCACTTACACATTATTGTTCTTAAAAAATAAGTTATAATCTAGGAATAGGGCATAAGAAAATAATGTTGTAAAACATTTTCTAAGAATTGCTAAAGCATTTAAATATCCTCTTGGTAGGATCTGTGATAGATCAAAAGTTGTAACATGTACTGCTTAGGAGAAGAGAAGCAGAAAGATCAGAAGTGGTGGAGGTGCTGCCTAGTGTAGGAGGACTGAAACCTGGCCTCGTGAGTAGCCAGGGTATGCATCTTGCTGCCCAGTGCTGGGGCACTGCTGATGTGACAGTGCATCTTGAAGTCAGGAGAAGTGGAACTCTCTACATAGAGATGAGGATAGGAAAGAGGCAAAGTGTTGGATTACCAGATTCTTCTACTACCTGTCATTTTACTTGTGACATTGTCAGTTAAAGTCCCCTGATGGGATCAAAGATGCGCCAAGATTGGTGAATGAATTGGGCTCGCTCAGTGTGGTTGCATTTTGAAAACCAAATATATAGCTACATTTTAACCTTTAGCCTTAATTATCTTATTAAATCTCAAAGACTCTGCCGTAGGAAGGAGCATTGGTGAGCAAAAAAGCAGCCTTTGTCCTCTTAACCCCCACCCAGTAGAGAAATGGGTGTCAGTAAGTGTCAGACCCTGGCTGCTCACCAGTCAAATGAACGATTTCTCCCCCGATGAGGAGGAGCCAGTGAGCAGAGGAGAAAAGCAGCCTTTTCTTCCCCCACACTCCCTGATACCTGATACAGCAGAGGAGGAAATTTTTTTAACAGGCCAAAGTAGGAACAAGGGGAGGAAAATGTGACGATTTTCTCTACAGTCCGTATTTGTCAGCTCACTCTAAGAACAGTGTATTTCTTTCAAAACTGTACCTTGAAAAAGTTTTTCATATGAGGTGTTTAATTAAAAATGTATAACTCCTTTTGGAAATGAAAGAAGAATTTCTACTGTATCATTCTGGACAAATAGATTCACTCCCTCTGAAACCAGAAATTTAAACATTTAAGGGGCCGGGTGCGGTGGCTCACGCCTGTAATCCCAGCACTTTGGGAGACCGAGGCGGGCGGATCCCGAGGTCAGGAGATCGAGACCATCCTGGCTAACATGGTGAAACCCCGTCTCTACTAAAAATACAAAAAAATTAGCCGGACGTGGTGGCGGGCTCCTGTAGTCCCAGCTACTCGGGAGGCTGAGGCAGGAGAATGGCGTGAACCCAGGAGGTGGAGCTTGCAGTGAGCCAAGATTGTGCCACGGCACTCCAGCCTGGGCGACAGAGCGAGACTCCGTCTCAAAATAAATAAATAAATAAATAAATAAATAAATAAATAAATAAATAAAATAAAATAAAATCAAACACATTTAAGGGGAAAGGTGTGAGACCCTGGAAAGACAGACTTCTGTTTTAAATAAATAGTAATGGTGGCTTATGTTAGGCATAGAGTATAAGAAGCACAAATGCTCTTATACCCTTCCATTCAATAATCATCACTAAAAGCCTGAAGGCAGACATTGCAGAAAGTATCATCTCCATGTATTCTCAATTATTAAGAATTAACTTGAAGAGAAGAAAGAGCAATGACTATCCCTAGTGCACTTTCTATCCATTAAAAATGCTTCTAAGTATTTTTCTTTCTGTGTAAGTGCCATGATTCATTTTTTAATTTACAGCTCTTTTCCTAGAAGGCAAAAAAAAAAAAAAAAAGCAGCATTTGGGATCACTCAAAAGTCATCCTACATCACTGACTTTGAGTAGCTAGCTGTTCCTAGATCCTCAAGTTGGAGAAATTAACCATGCTTTTAAAAGATGTCATGGCATTACTATTGTTATATCAAACTCACAAAGGTCTTAAATTTTCAAAGTTATACCATGAGGACCTTCTGGATGGGAAAAAAAAAAAGGAAAGAAACATCTCTGGCATCCTAGCTTAAATTATTCATTACTTTTTGGTAACCCAGTTCAATTTAAAAGCGTTTATGAATCACCTACTGTGTCCCTACCACTTATCAAGATACAGAATTATATGATAGCCTCTGCCCTAAAGTACTCAATGACCCTTAGGCATGAAATAAATGAAAGAGTTAAGCACGAAGCTCAGTGGGCTCCTCTGCTGAAAGGAGGTGAGAGGGAGCAGGAAATCGAGTGGGAAGAAAGAATTGAGATGGGAGTGGGATTTAGTTGATCTTTTTTCACTTTTCCTTCTAATTCCAGAAAAGGTGATGGTATAGGAGTATCAGAAAGGCAGTGTCCAGTCATCCTTTTGTTTGTCGCTGAAAACGAGCAGACAGCTCTCTTTACTCATGTACACTAAATTAATTCTTAAGTACATTTGAACTGAAGATTTTCCTAACACACTAGAAATCCAAAATTTAACATCGAGAAGGGAGATCATATGAATAGTGGGTAGGAGTGTCTTGCTAAAGATCATCATCATATTTGATTTTGGCCAAAAATAACACTTAGTTACATTTCCTTTAAATGTTGGTAATTGATGTTACAAATATCAAAGAAACATTATTTGTTTCTTAGATAGCAAACCAAGATAGAGTATCAGTAACTTGTCCCGGATTACAAACGGCAACAGAGTCTACCACTCTCTAAATCAGGCATACATGCCCCATATGCACATGACTTTCTAGCAGTTTATTTGTATGGAGCTGGATGAGGAGCTATGCATCATGTTTTTCTTACCCAGGTGAAAAGCTCGGGTTCCTAAACTGTTATTATCCCTACTGGTGCTATATTAATAATGGAAGTGCAGAAGAGGAATTTCTTGGAACTCATGTCCTAGACATACTATATATAATATTTTCTGGTTTTTGGTTTCTCCCATCAGGATGGAGGAAGCCTTGTAGGAGAAGTAAATGAAGATGGGGAGATGACTGGAGAGAAGATAGCCTATGTGTACCCTGATGAGAGGACCGCACTGTATGGGAAATTTATTGATGGAGAGATGATAGAAGGCAAACTGGCCACCCTTATGTCCACTGAAGAAGGGAGGCCTCACTTTGAGCTGATGCCTGGAAGTAAGTTGAATCTGCTTCAGATGGGTTGCTCCAATTCCAAAGCAGGTTGTTAGGGCTGATTTGAGAGAAGCTTCTTTTCTTTTCCTTTCTGTGTAGTTCTCTTTAATCATGTATTAGTCAGGTTTTATTGTATAACAGACACTGCACCTCCCTAGTGGCTTACAACAGCAACCACAGCTCTGCCGAGCAGCTGTACTCCAGCTGGCTGAGGCTGGGCTTAGGGGGCCAGGCCAGACTTGAGGCTTCTGGTCAGGTTTGAGTCAGCTCTCTGTCTTAATTCTGGGACCTAATCTGAAGGGACAATGGCAATGTGGGGCAAGATTTTCCCACAGTGGATCACAGAAGTGTCAGAGCATAAGCAGATACCTGTGATGCCTTTTGAAACCTCACCTTGGAACTGACATGGTGGCACTTTCACCCACTTTTCACTGATCAAAGCAAGTCACATGGCCAAGCCAGACATCGGTGAGACAGGGAAATTACACCATGCACATTAGTGGGAGATACCGAAAAGTCATGTGACAAAGGGCCTAGGTATATAATTCTCATATAGTGAGGGAATAAAGAAATGACAGCAGTAATTCAATTGATTTCAAACGGTTATCTCTCCAAAAAACTGCACTATGATAATAAAGAACCAAATCAAGTAGATCTCTAAACTGTAAAGTTGATTGAGCCTGAGCTGTGACTGGAAAATATAAATGCATATTGGCATCTCGAGCCCGACATCTTGCATGGAGCACGTGTATGAGTGAACCCAATGGAATCCATATTTGAAAAAAGTATTATTTTCCTTTTAGAAGTACACATGTCACACTAAACATTTTTTCTGAGCATAAAATTACTAAGTGTAGAAAATCTGGGCCGGGCGTGGTGGCTCAAGCCTGTAATCCCAGCACTTTGGGAGGCGGAGACGGGCGGATCACGAGGTCAGGAGATCGAGACCATCCTGGCTAACATGGTGAAACCCCGTGTCTACTAAAAAATACAAAAAACTAGCCAGGCGAGGTGGCGGGCGCCTGTAGTCCCAGCTACTCAGGAGGCTGAGGCAGGAGAATGGCGTAAACCTGGGAGGCGGAGCTTGCAGTGAGCTGAGATCCGGCCACTGCACCCCAGCCTGGGCCACAGAGCGAGACTCCGTCTCAAAAAAAAGAAAATCTGGAAAATATACAAAGAAAAATCAAGATTTTGCATTTTGAGTGGCACAGCTTAAGAAAGCTATTGAATTGGTCTGATTCCTTGAAAATAATATATGCATGTATTTCTGATCCAGGTTTGGTTATAGGGAGAAAAAAATAGAAAAGACAATAAATCTAGGCATTAATAGGCTTAAATAGTATTTAGTTATTTGGGATCTGAAGAAGAATCTCCAAAGGAAGCTTGTCCAAAAGTGAAAAATTTAGCATTTATATTTAGGTCCAATTTGGGTTGCTTTAAATGTCTTTTTTGTTTTTTTAAGTTAAAAATGGAGACAGTCTAAATGCAATGTGGGATTCTGGATTGGATCCTGGAAGAGAAAAAGGACGTTAGTGGAAAAACTGGTGAAATCTAAATAAAGTCTAGAGTTTAGTACATAGTAATGTATCTGTGTTGGTTTCTTAATTTTGACAAATGTACCATGCACTGTAAGAAGTTAACATTAGGAGGAACAGTGAGGATGCTCTGTGCTTTCTTTGCAACTTTTCTATATACAGTCATGGGCCCATAATAACTGTGGTACCATAAGATTATGCCATATTTTTGTTTTTATTTTCATTTTATTTTTTAAGGGACAGGATTTCACTCTGTTGCCCAGACTGGAGTGGACTGGTGTTATCATAGCCCACCGCAGCCTTGAGCTCCTGGGCTCAAGCGATTCTCCTGCCTCAGCCTCCCCAGTAGCGAAGACTACAGGCATGCACTACAACACCAGCTAAATATTTTTAATTTTTTTGTAGAAACAGGGTATTGCTGTATTGCTCAGGCTGGTCTCAAAATCCTGGCCTCAAGCGATCTTCCTGCCTCAGACTCTCATAGTGCTGGGATTACAGGCATAAACTACTGCACTCAGCTAAGATTATACCATATTTTTACTGCATCTTTTCTATATATAGATATGTTTAGATACACAAATCCTTCCCATTAGGTTACTGTTGTCTACAGTATTCCCTATAGTAACACGCTGTACAGGTTTGGAGCCTAGGAGCAATAGGCTGTACCATTTATTAATACCTTAGGTTTGTAGTTGGCTATACCATCTAGGTTTGTATGAGTACACTCTCTGATGTTTGCATAATGACCAACTCGCCTCACGACACATTTCTCAGAACGTATCCCCTTCATTAAGTGATGCATGTCATGTATTTGAAATTACTCCAAAATGAAAAGTTTATTTAAAAAAAAAAGGAGGTAGTAATCTTTGAACTACAAACTCTGATATATATGCCCTTGATCTATGTTCTAAAAGGAGACACTGTTATAATATTTAGAAATGAGGAGACTTGAAACAAGGGAGGATCCCAATTGGTGATGCCAATTTTAAAACTTCAGAAGTAGCAGCATTTTTAGTGGCAGGTGCCTGAATTTAAGAATCACCTAATCTGAGACCTAGCTCTAACATTTACTATATTATCCTTGGGCAAGTTATTTATTTTTTCAGAACCTGTTTCCTCATTACCAAATGTGGATATTAGCACCTACCATAAAACACTGTAATGAAAGTTGTTGTTATTACATTCTTCTTGCTATAAATAAGAAACAGTAGGCTGGGCCTGGTGGCTCGCAGCTGTAATCCTAGCACTTTGGGAGGCTGAGCCGGATGGATCATTTGAGCCCAGAAGTTCAAGATCAGCCTGGGCAGCATGGTAAGATCCTGTCTCTACTAAAAAATATATATATATATATTAGCTGGGCATGGTGGCATGTGCCCGTAATCTCAGCTACTTGGAAGACAGTGGTGGGAGGATCACCTGAGCTCAGGAAGTCAAGGCTGGAGTGAGCCGAGTGCACTGCACTCCAGCCTGGGCGACAGGAGTGAGACCCTGTCTTAAAAAAAAAAAAAAAAAAATGTTGAGAGTGAGAATTCTCAAGGGAATTATTATTTTTTTAGAATTTCTGGTTGCTTTAGCTGGGTGTGGTGGTGCATGCCTGTAGTCCCAGCTACTCAGGAGGCTGAGGCTCAAGAACCGCTTGAACCCAGGAAGTGGAGGTTGCAGTGAACCAAGATAGCACCCCTGCACTCCAGCCTGGGTGACACACAGAGATTCTGTCTCAAAAAAAAAAAAAAAAAAAAAAAAACACTTCTGGTTGCAAATAAACATTCACTTCAAATTAACTTAAGGCAAAAAAGACAGGGGGAATTTAACAGCAAGATTCTTGCAGACCTCAGGTATTTTGAAATGTTAAATAGTTTGAGCCTCAAAAGGGCCAGGAACCATGGCTGCTCTGGCACTCTGAAGATCCCATGGACAGATCTTTAGTCTAATGTTCTGCCATGTTTGTGTTTCTCCTCTGCCCCTTTCAGTTATAATTATTGACCTGTTGACTAGCCAGTGGGTTAGGGGGTATAGGGTTATGTGACTGTAGGGTCCAATGGTTGGGGAAGGAGAGAAATTAATGCAAATATCTCACGTAAAACACTCCTTGGCCTGTCGCCTCACCAGCTTCTCCCTTTCTCTGTGTGCTTTTGTCACCACAAACTACTTCTAGTTCTCTACGTACTTTCTGTGGAGTTTCTCACCTATGCCACTGGCTGGAATTCTTCTTACCTGGTCAGCCCTCCTCCACATAGTAACTGCTTTCCTCGGCTAATTCCTGCTCCATCTTTTAAGCTTAACTCACCTTTTATAATGAATGTTTGTCAATTGAATAAATGAATTCTAGTCAAATGGCATAACATTCTGTAGAGGAAAGGAGGGAAAGTAAAGGATGTGCCTGCAGCCTGTGCATGTCTAAGGGAGCAGAAGAAGGGACAGCAGGCATTGGAAGAGATAGTATGCACTCCCTGAAAGCAGCAACAGAGGTTAATCCTTTTTGTATCTACGTAGTCCCTAGTGTTGTACATGTAGTTGGCACTCAGTACATTTGTCATAAAAGTTTTAGTCTAAGGAGCTAGATGAAAGTTCATAGGAGAATTTCCACTCAATAGAACATATATTCCACGCACAATTCTGGCTCTTTTTAAAAAGTGGCGGCTGGGCACAGCAGCTCACGCCTATAATACCCGCACTTTGGGAGGCTGAGCCAGGTGGATCACTAGAGATCAGGAGTTCCAGACCAGCCTGGCCAACAAGGTGAACCCCGTCTCTACTGAAAATACAAAAATTAGCCAGCCAAGCATGGTGACAGGCACCTGTAATCCCAGCTGCTTGGGAGCCTGAGGCAGGAGAATTGCTTGAACCCAGGAGGCGGAGGTTGCAGTGAGCTGAGATCACACCATTGCCCTCCAGCCTGAGTGACAGAGTAAGACTGTCTGAAAAGAAAATAAAAGTGGGGGAGGGTGGTTTAAATTCTTTTCATGGATTGCTTGGTGGTCTGTTACCACTTTGCTCTCAGATCCAATCCATTCGTCATTCTTTCACTGCCTGCTATTATTGCAAGAGGCTGCTGCCCCTTGTGGCCTGCGTTTTTCAGGCTCCTGTGTGTTTGACTTCTGTCTGAGTTTGGCCAAAGGGAGGCCGCTGGCTGGCTGGGGACAAAGCAGGAGAAGGCAGCAGGCAGAAGCCCTCTCTGTGTCAACCAGCATCTCCAGCAGTGGCCCCGTCACCTCCTGATTCCATCTCCCTTGAGGAAGGCCCAGGCTAGTTCCAACTACCCAGCTCCAGAGCTCCAGGAGCACCACTGTGTGCTCTGTCCCTCCCGCCTGCAGCGGCAGCTTCCCGCTCTTGCCAGTGTCTGGGCTCTTCACGGCTCCATCTGTCTTGTCAGCATTCCATCCCCTGTATGACCAATTCCCTGAACTGAATTCTCTCGGGCGAGGTGGCGGGCGCCTGTAGTCCCAGCTACTCGGGAGGCTGAGGCAGGAGAATGGCGTGAACCCGGGAGGCGGGGCTTGCAGTGAGCTGAGATCCGGCCACTGCACTCCAGCCTGGGCGACACAGCAAGACTCCGTCTCAAAAAAAAAAAAAAAAAAAAGAAACACTCAAATGGTCTGTTTCTGTTGCAGACACTGACTGATTTGGATTGGTTTCTGACTTTTAGTTTGAGGTATTCCTTGGGGTTTTGGTGGTACAAAAAAAGCCACTCACAAACAAACAGAAAGAGGACCTAGTGACCATTGGTAACTACTGAAGAACTACTTAATGGGATTATGAGTTTTCCCTTAGTGTGTATAATCATTTGCTTTGCAGGAGTAAGCCCTCTGATTCTAAATCTTGTTTCTTTCCCTATCAACCTTCAGAGCATCTATCTTCAGTGCTCTCTGTGAAGATTCTCTCAGGCTAACCATTCACAGAGAGCCAGTGTTCATTCTCGGGCGGTTGTGTGCCTTGGTTTCTAGACTAAATTACTAACTGGCTTCTGAACCACCATAATAGAAAGGAGATTACTTTGTTAATGCTTTATCAAAAGCAGTGCTGTTCTCCTTAATTCTGGTGAGGCAGAACTTTATTCTTAGTGAAGGAGACAACTGCCAGGGTTCAGTTGTTGGATTCTGTAGACTGTATCTGTAATGAAGAAAACCACCAGAAAAATTTAAAACCATCATCCAATTTGATCTGAGCCAAGAGATCTCAGAATTTTATGACAAAGCGTTTTATTGATTCCCAAGCATCCTTTAAGTCATTTTAATAAGGAAAATTCAAGAGCGAATTGGGATGTTAAGAGATGCATCTGATGACTGTTCATGAAGTCCTGAAGATAAAAGTGAAGAGTAAATCTAAAATGTATCCACTTAAATTGAAGAACTTCATTCTAGTTGGTATAACTTGATCAAGACTTTTGGTTTTTTAACTCTCCATTGTCCCATGAATAGAGAGAAGTGTTATAAATGCTCTTCCCTAACTCTGCACCTGTACTGATATTTTTGTTTGCTTTTCAGATTCAGTGTACCACTTTGATAAGTCGACTTCATCTTGCATTTCTACCAATGCTCTTCTTCCAGATCCTTATGAATCAGAAAGGTAATGTCCTCCTTGTGGTTTTAATTGCACTGTTTATGTGAGGTTAAAGAAGCCTAGTGGTAGGAACTTATGCACCTCTGTGACTCTCTGCCCAGGCTAGGTTCCAGCTCAGACCAAGCTCCTCATTAAAGTGTCCTTTTCCTTTGCAAATCCTCAAATAAATATTTCTATATTCTGAGGAACAGTGTTTTTATTCTTATGTAGAATCTGACCCTGTAAGAGAGTTTCCCCACCCATAAATCACAGAACAGCTTGTGTGTCTGTCCTAAAGTATAACCTCCAGGTAGAAAGAGCAGTTGAGGCTGGGCATGGTGGCTTATGCCTGTAATCCCAGCAATTTGGGAGGCCAAGGCAGGCAGATCACTTGAGGTCATGTGTTCAAGATCATCCTGGCCAACATGGTGAAACCCCATCTCCACTAAAAATACAAAAATTAGCCAGGTGTTATGGCGTATGCTTGTAATCCCAGCTACTCAGGAGGCTGAGGCACAAGAATTGCTTCAACCTGGGAGGCAGAGGTTACGGTGAGCCGAGATCATGCCATTGCACTCCAGCCTAGGCAACAGAGCGAGACTCCATTAAAAAAAAAAAAAAAAAAAAAAAAAGGCAGTTGAGCCAGGCAGCCAGCTATGTCCTGGCCGAGCATCCCGTTCTTACAGTCTGTGCTACAGTCACATGCTGGCCCTCTAGGGGAACATTTCATGCTCTTTAAAGCTCTAGCCTGTGCACACAGGATGCCTCCATTTCATCTTAGTCCAGCTGAGGTGTTCTGGAACACAAGACAGTTTCTTTCTTTCACTAAGAGAAGACAAGAGTGAAACAAAGAAAGTGTAAGAGAGAGGCATAAAAACATTCTAGCTTATAAATGACAAGTTTCTGGTTTGTAAGCCCACCCCCAGAGGGTCACGTCCTGTCGCACTTCATGTCTTATTTATGAGGATGGCTAAACTGTAGCTCTTGAGTCTTGGTGTGGCTTTCTCTGGTACCCTCTCTGGGATTGTTCTTATTCCTTAGCAACAGATCTGTTTATGAGTAAGCGTACTATCTGAAATTGGTTTTCTCTTTGCCTCACTTTTTGTAATCATGGCTTACCTCCCATTGAGTTTCTGTTCCCATCTGAGAAATAGGCCTCTTCCCCCATTCGACTGATAGGGCTGACCCCACAAGGTCACAATGACGAATGGACTCTTTTTTGACATGAGGCTCTGGCCCAGTTACAAAGGGAAGGGTTTAGCTTTTTTGTTAGCTCTGAAACACAAGACCGTAGCCATATGTGTTAGTCTTTTCTGTTATTATTGTTGTGATGAGGCTGCATAATGATGCCCTCAGAACTCTCAGTGGTTTACAGAACCAAACATTTTGTTTTACACTCATAGTTCTGTAGGTTGGCTGAGGTTCAGCCACTTTTGACTAGAATCAGCTAAGCTCAGCTGGCTTAGGCTGGACTCCAGGTTTCAAGTTGGGTTCAAGTCTGCTTCACATGTTTTCTTTACAAGAGAAACAGGGAGCAACAGCCCCCTAGGGCATATTCTTCTAGTGGTGACAGTGAAAAGTCTGGAGGAGGCCATCAGAAATTTGCCCCAGCCCTTCACACCTGAGACCTGCCTGCAGCCACTTCTGCCCATGTTCTACCAGCAAAGCAGATCAGATGGCCAAGTGAGAAGTCAGTATCCTCCACCCACCCTGAGGGAGGCACTACAAGGTCACGTGGCAAAGTGGCAGGATGTATATAATTCTATCACAGGGAAGAAGTAAAGAGTTGAAAGCAATAAATTAGTCTTCCAGTTCATGAATAAGCATGAGCCATGTAACTAAAATTACAGATGATCAGTTCCTGTAGGGTCATTCCATCCCAGTGTCTGATTAAATCCAGTTCCATAATTATGAGTGCTTTTTTCTTTTTTTTTTTTTTTTTTTTTTAAGACAGAGTCTTGCTCTTGTCGCCCAGGCTGGAGTGCAATGACGCAATTTCAGCTCACTGCAATCTCCGCCGCCTGGGTTCAAGCGAGTCTCCTGCCTCAGCCTCCCGAGTAACTGGGATTACAGGCACCCGCCACCATACCGAGCTAATTTTTGTATTTTTAGTAGAGATGGGGTTTCACCATGTTAACCAGGGTGGTCTTGAACTCCTGACCTCAGGTGATCCACCCGCCTCAACCTCCCAAAGTGCTGGTATTACAGGCATGAGCCACCACACCCGACCAGCTGTTTTCTTATAACGGTGGTTGGCAAACTTTTTCTGTAAAGGGCCACATAGTAAATATTTTAGGCTTTGCAAGCCATATAATATCTGTTGCAACTACTCAATTCTGCCTTTGTAGAGCTAAAGCAGTCATAGGCAATACTAAACAAATGGGTGTGGCTGTGTCCAGATAAAACTTTACTTACAAAAATGAGCAGCAGGCAGACTGGACCCTCAGGCCATAGTTAACTGACCCCTGTCATGAACCCTTTTGTTGGGATATGCTTATTGGATATATCTTATTAATTGTCACTGTTTCATATAAAAGATTCATCTTGAGGCTTAACTAAAACAGCCTCCTTTCCCTCCCATCTAACACTGACAAACTTAGATATCGCTTTAATTAACTTTGAAAAAATGCTTACTTGTCCAGTAAGACAGTGAAAATTGTCATTAACTAAAAACATAAATCTTCCAAAAAAATACCTCATATCAAGCACTGAGCATCTTTATGAAAATATAATGATAATTTCTATATTAGAAAGCAAATTTTAAACACCACTCTTAAAAGAGACGTAACTACCATTTGTTTAATTTCCAATGCCAAAATATTGTGGTTTAACTTTTTCTTCCTCCCTCCCTTCTTAGTTGAGTTATGAATTGACATTTTGGATTCAGTAGCCATAATGATATTTTGGCATTTGATGTAAGGAATGACATATTAAACTGAAAAGGTCACTATTCAACTCTTTTTTCAATTTAGGGTTTATGTTGCTGAATCTCTCATTTCCAGTGCTGGAGAAGGACTTTTTTCAAAGGTAGCAGTGGGACCTAATACTGTTATGTCTTTTTATAATGGAGTTCGAATTACACACCAAGAGGTGAGTGGGGGTGACAGTGGAAAATCAACTTTGTTGGTTAAAGGACTTTGCTTCAAACAAAATCTCTTTACCTTAGTACTCACTAGAAAGTTAAAGAAACAGATTGACTTTTTTGTAAAATTGATTGGACATTCTCCTCCTCTTTATTTTAAGCCTTAATATGATTTTTCAAAAGTTCCACAGCTATTTTATAGAGAGTGGGGTGATGCCATCAATAAGACAGTAATTGGTATATTGGACTATACCAATGTCTAAAAAAATTGAGATCCAGTCAGACTCTGTAAATAACTAACTTACGACGTTGGGTGGGGTACTTTATAGGAAGGCCCCCTACATCTTCTTGTGCAAAAGCCATACTATATCCTACATTTTGTCAGGAGGAGTTCTTTTGTCAAAAAAATTAAAAACAAAATGTTAAAGAGTTGAATCACCTCTTGCCTTTAAGATATAATCTTTGATATATTTCAAAGGCTTCATGTATGTTTTCTGTTTTTATTTCTTCACTTTACAACTAACTTCGCTAAGTGTCTGCCTAAGGGCAAAAGTTCAATGTTTTTAGCACAGCTTATGCGCTCCTTCCTTATCTGACTTATACCCGTGTATGGGGACCTTAAGCTTATGGCTAATATCCCACATTTATGTTCACCTTTGCATTTATTCCTATGGAACAGTAAGAGGGAAATGCTGTAAAATAATAAAGTTATTACACTTTCAAAGCAGTTGCACAGACAAAAGATGGTGATGTATTCAAACTGCACTGTGGTCTGTCAGACTATGTTCCATGCGAAGGCCAGACTTCTGTCAGCAATCCAGAGAAATTCAGCATACAAAAGGTGACGTTGGGATATTGATATATTATTTACTTACTCATTTTACAGGTAGGGAAATTGAAGCCTAGAGAGATTACACAACTTGCTTAAAGTCAAAAATACAGCAAATAGCAGAGTTCAAGTAGGATTTCAAACTGCAGAATCTGGCTTTGTGCTGAACCTCACTATGTTCTATTGTATAAATGAATGTGACACCCTTCTTGCCCTAATGAAATTTAGATTCTGTTGGGGAGATAAGAAAAATACACAACTAATGGCAGCATAAGGTAGATGGTACCAGGTGCCATATATCGGTATCACATGACTTGTCTTGGACTATTAAGATCCATGAGGCAGAACCTACAAAGAACTCAAACAAATTTACAAGAAAAAAACGAACAACCCCATCAAAAAGTGGGCAAAGGATATGAACAGACATTTCTCAAAAGAAGACATTCATACAGCCAACAGACACATGAAAAAATGCTCATCATCACTGGCCATCAGAGAAATGCAAATCAAAACCACAATGAGATACCATCTCACACCAGTTAGAATGGCGATCATTAAAAAGTCAGGAAATAACAGGTGCTGGAGAGGATGTGGAGAAATAGGAACACTTTTACACTGTTGGTGGGATTGTAAACTAGTTCAACCATTATGGAAAACAGTATGGCGATTCCTCAAGGATCTAGAACTAGATGTACCATATGACCCAGCCATCCCATTACTGGGTATATACCCAAAGGATTATAAATCATGCTGCTATAAAGACACATGCACACGTATGTTTATTGCGGCACTATTCACAATAGCAAAGACTTGGAATCAACCCAAATGTCCATCAGTGACAGACTGGATTAAGAAAATGTGGCAAATATACACCATGGAATACTATGCAGCCATAAAAAAGGAGTTTGTGTCCTTTGTAGGGACATGGATGCAGCTGGAAACCATCATTCTTAGCAAACTATCACAAGAACAGAAAACCAAACACCGCATGTTCTCACTCATAGGTGGGAACTGAACAATGAGATCACTTGGACTCGGGAAGGGGAACATCACACACCAGGGCCTATCATGGGGAGGGGGGAGGGGGGAGGGATTTCATTGGGAGTTATACCTGATGTAAATGACGAGTTGATGGGTGCTGACGAGTTGATGGGTGCAGCACACCAACATGGCACAAGTATACATATGTAACAAACCTGCACGTTATGCACATGTACCCTAGAACTTAAAGTATTAAAAAAAAAAAAAAATCCATGAGGCTTTTTTTCTGCTTTTGATCACTGCTGTATCCCCTGCACCTAGAACAGTGCCTGGCACATGGTACCACTTAGTAAACATCAGTTGAGGGACTATCACATATAAACAAAAGCACAATTACAATTTAGCAGTGGGGGAAATGGTATACCTTGAGAGTTAACAGTTTTGTATGAAAATGTCGTCGTGTTGGCTTCAAAAGGCTGGACTGCTGTCATCGCCAGCTCCTGGGGTGAGTTGGTCAGGAGTGGTTTGGAGAAGAGAAGCCTGATGGTTACACTGTTAGTAACCCCTGTTGTAGATAAGAAGGCATGCTGGTAATCGATGGCTGCCTGCTGGTCAGAGTGATTTCCCACCTGTAACAAAGGTAGAGGACTTGCCTAGAGTACATTCTTGCATCCCTTACATTTCTGGTTCCATTTGTGTTCTTACTTTGTTTTTTTCTTTTGCCTCCTCTTCTTTATCCAATTCAAGTTATCTAGTTATATTTTATGTATATTCATCAGGGACTTTAAATCCTTTTTTTTCATATGGAACAAGGAAAAATGAACAAATAGTAAGTCGAGCTGCATGGCACTGACCACACATGTCATTTGCACTCTCAGTGTGTGGAGAGATGCCTTGTTTTGTTTTGTTTTATTTCATTTTGTAGTGCTCAAATCTTGAAGTTTTGGCTGAGTGTGGTGGCTCACACCTGTAATTCCAACACTTTGGGAGGCCGAGGTGGGCAGATCACCTGAGGTCAGGAGTTTGAGACCAGCCTGGCCAACATGGTGAAACCCCATCTCTACAAAAAATACAAAAACTAGCTAGGTGTGGTGGTGCACACCTGTAATTCCAGCTACTCAGGAGGCTGAGGCATGAGAATCGCTTGAATCTGGGAGGCAGAGGTTGTGGTTAGCCCAGATCATGCCACTGCACTCCAGCCTAGGTGATGGAGTGAGACCCTGTCTCAAAAACAAAAATAATAAGATAAATGAGTTAATATCTCTGATGTCCTTTGAACTGTGGGGAGAAAGGTCCTCTCTAAGGCTCGCTTTTTTGTTTTCTGCAGGTTGACAGCAGGGACTGGGCCCTTAATGGGAACACCCTCTCCCTTGATGAAGAAACGGTCATTGATGTGCCTGAGCCCTATAACCATGTATCCAAGTACTGTGCCTCCTTGGGACACAAGGCAAATCACTCCTTCACTCCAAACTGCATCTACGACATGTAAGTATCACTCCGAGCTGCTGGGGCGGATCTGTGCCTCAGGGCCCTGAGACTGAGGAGGACAGTAAAAGGTGTTATTCTGCCTCAGATAAAGGCTGCTTCATCCGAATGACCATGGGTCCTCCGCCATCGGCCTCAGGGTTATGACTTGAAACTCAAAATATAAACAGCCTCACTCTGTGGCTTTGCAATCTAAGAAATGGAAAGTGCTTTGAAGAGGAGAAATGATATGGAAATAGTGTACCATACCGAGGGGCTGCTGTTTTATAGCTGCTCTTTTTGTCCTTCAGTTTTCTCATTCTGGACAATTAAAGATAGTGTTATTTGAAATAATAGTAAAAATTGAAATTACTCTGCACAGTGGAGAAGATAAGGAAGCCCCCCTTTTTTTTTTAGATGGATTTGCCCTCTTGATGCCCAGGCTGGAGTACAATGGCGAGATCTCGGCTCACTGCAACCTCCGCCTCCCGGGTTCAAGCGATTCTCCTGCCTCAGCCTCCCAAGTAGCTGGGATTACAAGCATGCACCACCACGCCCAGCTAATTTTTTTTGTATTTTTAGTAGAGGTGGGGTTTCACCATGTCAGTCAGGCTGGTCTTGAACTTCTGACCTCAGGTGATCCACCTGCCTCGGCCTCCCAAAGTGTTGGGATTACAGGTGTGAGCCACTGCGCCCGGCCAGGAGCCCTTTTATGACGTGAAAGGAAGAAGGAAAATAAAGTCCTAAGCCTAGGGCATGACGTGTCAGTGTTGGAAAAGACCTATAAAATCAGAGTCCCTATTGTTTGCTAATAAAAAGGAATGAAGTACTGACATATGCTACAACATGGATGAGAATTGTAGACACTATGCTAAGTGAAAGAATATATGACTCCATTTATATGAAATGTCCAAAATGTAGGAAATCCATAGAGATAGATAGTAGATTAGTGGTTCCCTAGGGCTGGGGACGGGGGATGGGGAGTGTGTGCTAATGGGTATGGGATCTCATTGTGGTCTCATTTTGGGGTGATTAAAATGTTCTAAGGTGGGTGTTCTAAAATTAGATGATGGTGATGGTTGCAGAATTTCGTGTGTATTTGTGATATTCAGTTGTTGAAAGGCCACTGAATTATCTACTTCAAAAGGTAAATATATAAAATGAGTACATATATTTATACTCTGTGTATAAAATACAAATAATCCTCTTAGAGTTTGAGCCTTCTCTTCCATCTGCTCATTGAACCTCTTCTTGGAAACCTCCATTGGTGTGGAGCTTACATTATCCACAAAGGTTCAGAGAAATATACAAATGAAATAGACATTACAAAATTAGCTTCTGGGCTCCGATGACTAGAAAGTTCTTTTTTTTTTTGAGACGGATTCTCGCTCAGTCTCCTAAGCTGGAGTACAACGGCGAGATCTTGGCTCACTGCAACCTCTGCCCCCCAGGTTCAAGCAATTCTCCCACCTCAGCTTCCCAAAATAGCTGGGATTACAGGCACCTGCCATCATACCTGGCTAATTGTATTTTTGTAGAGATGGGGTTTCACCATGTTGGCCAGTCGGGTCTTGAACTCCTGACCTCAGGTGATCTGCCTCGGCCTCCCAAAGTGCTAGGATTACAGGTGTGAGCCACCACCCCTGGCCTAGAAAGTTCTTTATAATGAGCCCAAATGAGTTTCCCTGTAATATTCAGCCCTTGGCCCTAATTGTCTCCCTTTTTTCCTGTGTCCCATGTCAGCCTCTCTTTTACATGGTAGCCCTACATACACTTTAGTAGTTTTTATATGACCCCTGAACATGTTCTTCCCAAAGCCAAACATCTCTGACTGTTCTCTAGAGGATATAATTGGGATTCTTTGTACCATCATCATTGCTCTCCTTAGCTTGGTGTGAGAATGCCAGTTATTCTTAGGAGCCGGTGAGCTTCCTGCAACCTTTTCTTTTCAGTTATAGCTTGCAGTCCCTCAGTCATCTTGCTTGTTAGCATAAGCAGAATCAGATCATGTGCATTTAATCTGTAGCAAAATTGCCAGGATTTGGAGGTTCGTCAAGAATGTCCCTTCCTGCATCCTTGAAATGGCTTAAAAATTTTCCTGGCAATGACTTGCTCTCTTTGGCAGCCCATAACAAGCACTGAAGCTACTACTTCTGTTTAAAGGACGGGTAGAAATGGCAAAGGACATGTGTCATGTGAAATGAAACTGACACTGTGATTAACTCCAAGGCTTTCGTGGCCAGGGTGAATTAGGCCAAAGCGTCATTCCAAGCTGCACACAGCTTAACAACAACCCTTTAAAGGGGTGGTAACAAACAATTATAAATGCTACTTAAGACTACTCCTTTAAAACAAACCAGGTTTTTTATTTCATTGCAAGGACATGATTTTTCTCACCAAAAGGAAGAGAGCACAGGAGACGAGAAGGTTTCATTTATACAAAACCCAAGTCCCTGTACTCTGCCAGTTTTCATTTTGTTTATTGTTGTTTGTTTGTTTGTTTGCAAGCCCAGGGTGATCAAATCTTAGTTATTTGGGGTAATGAGAAGACTACTTGAATAATAACCAGATATGAAATTCAGATACCAATTAATGGTATTCATTTGTTTCAAAAATCATTGGTATTGATATGTACCTTTTTTTTTTTTTTTTTTTTTTTTTTGAGATGGAGTTTCACTCTTGTTGCCCAGGTTGGAGGTACAATGGTGTGATCTCAGCTCACTGTAACCTCTACCTCCCAGGTTCAAGTGGTTATCCTGCCTCAGCCTACCAAGTAGCTGGGATTACAGGCATGCACCACCACACCTGGCTAATTTTTGTATTTTTAGTAGAGACAGGTTTTTGCCATGTTGGTAAGGGTGGTCTCAAACTCCTGAACTCAGGTGATTCACCTGCCTTGGCCTCCCAAAGTGCTGGGATTACAGGTGTGAGCCACCATGCCTGGTCCTGATATGTACATTTTAACATAAACAAAACATTTTCATAAGCTTTTTTAACTGCAGTCTAGTACAAAATGCCAAATGGACAAATAGATAAGAGCTGCTTTTCTAGACAAACTGTAGACAAGTGGCTAAGCCACTTGGCACAAAGGTTTGGTTTGACTGCTAATCGTGTAGCTCACATTTATAGACCACTCACTCTGGGCTGGTGCTGTGCTAGATGCTCTTCATGCATTGTCTCATTCAGTCCTCCTAGTAACTCAGTGAGGCCACTACTATCACCATCGAGATCACAGACAGGAAAAGCAGGTCGCCAAGGCAGAGCAGTTAAGGCTCTTAACCACTGTGCCTTCGGGTCGTCTTCAACAATCAACACCTGAAATTGAATTCTTTCTTTTCAGTCTGTCAGTTATCTACACTCTGAAAATGATGATGACAATGAGCAGGAAAATGAAAATAAAAGAGGATTATAAAAGAAGCTTCAGGCCTGGAAATTCAACACAGGGTCTGTTTTTGGTTTTTTGCAGTGTACCAGAGGTTAACCAACCTGTATTTCAGGAAATTTTTTTTAGTAAAATATGTTAATTTACTTTAATTTTTTTTTCCGAGACGGGGTCTCTGTCATCCAGGTTGGAGTGCAGTGGCATAATGTCAGCTCACTGCAACCTCTGCCTCCCAGGCTCAAGCGATCATCCTACCTCAGCCTCCCAAGTAGCTGGTACCAACAGGTGCGTGCCACCACCCCTGGCTAGTTTTTTGTATTTTTGGGAGAGGTGGGGTTTCGCCATGTTGCCCAGGCTGGTCTCGAACTCCCGAGCTCAGGTGATCTACCCACCTCAGCCTCCCAAAGTAGTGGGATTACAGGCATGGGTCACTGCACCCAGCCAAGTGAAATATTTTAATTTAAGCAAAGAGTCGTGCTTTTCGTAAGGAATTCCTGAATCCACAGTCTAGGCATCTCCTTTGGGGTGGAGTATAGGCTGATAATTCTGTTCACATGTGTGTTCACAGATGCATGCTCACAGACAGGCAGTAACCAATATTAGTTGAATCCTACTTTGTGCCAGGCACTGTATAAGGTGCTTTCTATATGTGACCCCATTTTGTCATGACAAAGACCCTATGGGATAACTATTACTAGTATTATCATGATTTTACAGATGAGGAAAGTGAGATCCAGAGATATGAGGTGGACTTTCCAAGGGGACGCAGTAAAACTGTGTTGAATCAGGACTCACACCAAAGTCTTCTGATACCAAGTGTCCTTTCCACGAAACATGATATGATACCCAAGTAGGGTGGACATAGAGGCCCCTTTGGTGTGAGATAAAGGTTGTTCCTTTTTAACTCCACATAAAAGAAGTCCCGAAGCTACAGACATGCCCATTCCTCCACCATTGATAGAAGGAACCAGCCAACTACTTACTATCATGCCCCAAGCACCAATCTTTTTTTTTGAGACAAAGTCTCACTCTGTCACCCAGGCTGGAGTACAGTAGAGCAATCTCAACTCACTGCAATCTCCACCTCTTGGGTCCAAGCGATTCTTGTGCCTCAGCCTCCCGAGTAGCTGGGGTTACAGGTGTGTGCCACCACACTCAGCTAATTTTTGTATTTTTAGTAGAGACAGGGTTTCACCGTGTTGACCAGGCTGGTCTCAAACTCGTGACCTCAAGTGACCCACCCACCTCGGCCTCCCAAAGTGCTGAGATTACAGACGTGAGCCACCACGTCCGGCTGCCAAGCACCAATCTAACTTAGGACCTGGAACCTTCTCCTTTGCTGTCTCACCAACCCTTTGTTCAAAATACGACAATAAACTGGGCGCAGTGCTCACACCTGTAATCCCAGCATTTTAGGAGGCCAAGGTGGGCCAATCGCTTGAGGCCAGGAGTTTGAGACCAGCCTGGCCAACATAGCAAAACCGTATCTGTACTAAAAATACAAAAAATCAGCTGGGCATGGCAGCGCACACCTGTAATCCCAGCTGCTCGGGAGGCTCAGACATGACAATTGCTGGAACCTGGAAGGTGGAGGTTGTAGTGAGCCGAGATCATGCCACTGTACTCCAGCCTGGGCAACAGAGCAAGACTCTGTCTCAAAAAAAAAAAAAAAAAAAAAAAGACTATAAATGAATGAGATTGATTTGACCAGACGCATATAAAAATAAAGCTGATTTCTTCCTGGTCATGCCTTACATATATCCATTTCAGCAGCTGTTAGGTGAGCTAAGTCTATTTATTGCTTATTTATCTGCCTGTTCTGCAGGGAGCTGTGCAGATGAACAGGGTTGGGAGCCTTTGGCAAATGAACATAGCCATAGTGTTAACCTCGTTTCTGGTCCCAAGAGGACTTGTTGTAGGAAGGAGATACTGTTCCCTTCATAGGATGCTCCACAGGGAAATACTAAATAAGCAGGTTGGCAGGGAGGTCTAGACTTCCCTCTTGGGAAGAAATCTTCATCTACTTTCGTGCTAGAAAATAATATTTCCTCTCTATGTATAGGGTGGAAAACAGAGTTTTTGCCTTTGAAAATCCACAGGGCTCTTTCTTACAACTCCAAAAGCACTCTGGTGAAGCCTTCTCCCTGAGATACAGCCAGGTAATCTGATGCTGCTGGCCAGACAAGCTCAAATGCTGGCGGGCTGCACTGGATCTGATTTCTCATTAGTGACAGATTTTTGTTGTTGATCATGATTGTTGGTTTATAAATGCAAGGTGCCAAATATGCTTTAAAAAACAGAGCAGTGCTTTTCAGACTTTAATATACCAGTGGATCACCTGGGGGTGTCGCTAAAATACAGATTCCAATCCAGCAGGTCTGGGATGGGGCCGAGATGCTTCATGTCTAATAAGCTCTCGGGTGAAACTGATGCTGGGTGACCACACTTTGGGTACCTACCAGGCGTGCCCAGGGAAGAGTGCCTGGGGGTGATTCCTCTATCAGCCCCTCCCTAGTCTTTGCTTCCAACCTCCTAGTCTGGCCCGGGAATGACTGTGTGCATCTTGATGTTTAGGTTTGTCCACCCCCGTTTTGGGCCCATCAAATGCATCCGCACCCTGAGAGCAGTGGAGGCCGATGAAGAGCTCACCGTTGCCTATGGCTATGACCACAGCCCCCCCGGGAAGAGTGGGCCTGAAGCCCCTGAGTGGTACCAGGTGGAGCTGAAGGCCTTCCAGGCCACCCAGCAAAAGTGAAAGGCCTGGCTTTGGGGTTCAGAGACCTGGAATAGAAACTTGGATCTATGCACTACGTTTATCCGACAATGGGACAACCAGGGACTGCTCATGCTGTGACGTCACATCCTCTCACCATGTGTTAGCAACGACTTTCTCGCATACTAACTAGGTTTGACTGTATTACTCATACCAGATTTAAAATTAGCTAGCCTTGCAACAACGTCCTACTGAGAGGTATTGTCAAGCATTTGACATAAGACAGCGTGATGTTCTTTGGTGGTTCAAGTCTATATCTGTACCACATTCAGAGATGCCAAATGATTAGACTGAAACAGGGAAATGGGGTTTTTCAGTCATTTTTAGTCAGTGGTTTTTCCATAGTGCTTTTTTTCCTATGGCCAGTGCAAATTGTGTTACCACACTTGCATATGTGCCATATTGAGGGTTGACAATTACTACATGTTTATTCTCTAAATGTAGTATAATTTGCCTTTTAACCTTTGATCTGTATCTTGCAATAGAATGGCTTTGTTTTTTTCCTAGTGAATAGAAGCCCACTTCTAAAGTCATTTCACCCCTCAGTCCTATTCTCTTTCTTAGATATCCTTTACAAGAGAAAACTTCCAAATGGATTTTTGCATCAATAGCAGTGTGTAGGTCTCTCTGGTTCTTTCTATATCATCATTTTATTATTATGTCCTAATATAAAGTACTGGCTCATAGGGCCAGGGTATTATTATAGAATATTATTCTCGCATGTAAACAAAGATATCTTTGCTTTAAGATGTGAGAAGAAATGAATTTACTTTGTTTGCATTAAGTTATGGAAGAGTTGTAATATATACTTTAAGAAAGAAGAGAAGAAAATTAGTATTTCTAAGCAGTAACTGTGGCAATTTTGCAATATTTTCAATAGTGCTAGTAAGTTTTTTCTCCTTGAGTACACATTAAATGTACATAACATAGTGCAGTCAGGCTTGTGACACAGTGCATTGAATTCAAAAGTCAAATAGCAAATTTGAATTCTAGCAGAATTCAAAAAGCAATTTTTTTAGTCAGTACTACTAAGGCAGACATACTGATTACTAGGTACAAATCAAACCTTGATGCTAAAACTCTTCATCATTGTAATTTCAAAGCACTTACCTGCTTCAAAACATTGTAAACTAAGACTGAACACCTGTATAGTTTAAAAGCAACACTATCAATAGCATTTCAGCCATTTTGCCAGCCATGTGTAATCACAACAGCAGAAATAAGGAGAAAACCCCTGTTTTTTAGTTTAGCTAATTAGATCTGTAACTTCACTGGGATTGCTCTGAATGAATTCTGAGAGTTTTGTTTTTTATACGCACCCTTACCACATGCCATAGCTATGTCTCTTTTAGACACCTCGATGTGGTGGCTGGAAGAACTGGAGAGCAGCTGTTGTGCTGATCTGCAGCTGTCAGCTGTGGTTCCTGTCACCTGAGTCAGTTTGGTCTGGAAAGCTAAGGCCTTCCAAGCTATAGCGGAGAGTGAGCTCCAGCTGATGAGAGAAGGCTTGCAGTGGGAGAAGAGTGAAGACATAGGCAGAAGGAGGTTTGCTCTTTCTTGTCAGTTGCACATAGCTTTATGAAGACTACAACAAAAGTGCTTGATCCCAGGCTGCTCATGACTTTCAGTTCAGGTGGCCCCTGGGCACATTGACAGAGTTGCCCTTCCCTTCTTTGCAAGGCCAAGCTTCCTAGAGCACCCAGTTGCATACTTTGCAGCTAGGGGGCAGTGGTTTCAGGGAGATCCAGTTGGATCCCTGCTTGAAAGCTTAAGCCGATGGTTCACCCATGAGAGGAAGTTGTTGGTGCTTCCAGAAAGATTGCCCACCAAAGGAATTGAATAGAGTTTTTAGATTTAAAGGCACCAGGATAGGGTCACTTTTATTCTGTAGAAAGAGACCGTTTTATACACTGTGACAGATGGGCCAGGGCCTCTGGACTTGCATTCTGATAGGTGCTTTAATTTAAATGTGTCCCAAAGGGAGTGACTGTCTTCAGGAGAAAGATGGTTTGCATTAAGCTCACTCAGGTGAGTTGTGCAGCCGGGTCAGGGAATGAGGTCAGGGAGAGGATAGTGCTGGTCATGCCCCCGATGCAGCCATGCTCTGAATGATTTCATTCCTGAGAGTGATCGCATTCTGGTCCTGGCTGCAGTGGGGTACAATTTACATCCTAAGGGGCTACTCTATCCCATTCAAATGGTATTTTTTTTCAAAATTGGATAAAAGGAATTGAAGAGTTGAATGTAGTGATTAGTCCGCTAATCATTTCTTCAGATGAGATATTGAATGGTAACACTCTGAGCTTAAAACTCAGCAGTGTGTCTGTGACCTCCACGCAAATCAGAGGAAGCAATGCGCCCTCGCTGAGCCTCACTGTGTCTTCCTCCCAACTCTCTTCATACTCTCTGTGTCTTCCAGCTCTTCTTTCTCCTGCTCTTTCCTCTTCTCTCTGCATATGTGAGAACACCTGGATGTCCTGTGTAACAGCAGCCCCATCTGCCCTCTCCTGTTCCCTGTTCCAAGTCCTCTGCACTGTCCTCTCTTGAGTCTCTCTGGCTCTGTGCATGTCCTCGGGTCCTTCCCTGTCTGGCTTTCCCTCTGTGTGTCCCTCTCTGTTTGCTTATGTCTCTGGCTCTGTCTCTCCCACCCCTCCCCTCACACACACACATACTCCCAAATAGAAGGCTCTGTCACAGGTTGGAATCAGAGTGGGGCTTGAGATTCACTGAGTTCTGTAGGTAGAGAAAGAAGTCAAGAGAGTGGAGGTTCTATAAGGAATTAACAGCTGAGGACGGAAGGGTTTGTTTCTTGTTTGAACCTAAGTGCAAGTGGAAAAGAACACTCAGAATGTATTTTTCTACTTTACATCTGCTGGGGAAGGAAATATGTCAGGAAGCCGCCGCATCTGGTCATTTCATCAGCATCAGAATCACAGCAGACGTGGAAGATTCCATGTGGTGGGGAATAAAGAAATGACTTTATGCTCTCCTAAAAAGCAGTGGGAGCCTGTGTGTGTGTGACACTGTAATCTCAAGCAGATTCACTCAGAGCTGTCTCAGTCCAACTCCTGCATGACCAGATCTTCCCTTAGCATCTTTTCTGTGATGAAATATTATCTTGTGTTAGAGTTAGGAATAGGAACTAACCTGTAGGAGCATGTCCCCAAATGGACATTTGAATGGACTAACAAAAACAACTGGAAAGATTGAATTTCCGACACAAAGGAATGATGAGATCAAAAAGAAAGCAGTGAGGAGTTCTTGAGTCTTGTAGTACCTATTCTTATTTTAACTTGCTTCATCCTTGATCTACCCGAGACACTAAGAAGGAAATTAGTTTTCCAAGAGCTCTTTGAACCTGTCTAGGACTGTAGTTAAACCTATTTGCCCTATGGGGGTTCTTCACACTTGAAAAACTATTTCCTTATCACCAACAACCCACCCGGAAAGGCCAATGAGGCCAAATGTAACCATTTTTAACATTTAAATAGAACTATTAAAATTGCATTAATTGTGAACAGTGAATTAAAGGGTTGTCTTCTCCGGGAGACAGTATGTGGCACTTTTAGTAAATTTCGTTTAATATATAAAAATTTAAATCGCTCACTGCAACATGCATTTAAAATCTTCCGAGAAGGTAGAGGTATCGTTTTTTCCCTTTTGTTTTGTTTTAAAACAGTTGCCTCAAGCTTCTGTCTTAAGAGTAGTGACTTAGAATCCAGACATCTTTTGTTTTAGAAAAACAAGCAAAACTATGTTGCAAGACTGACAGTTGTAATGTTTATTTGCCACAGATCAAAGGTTCACAAAGTATATCAAATCTACATCTACTTGGGGTACCTTGATAGATTATTACTATTTTTCTTTTATCTTTCCCTTCAGGAATTTGGAACCTCGGTGTCACTTTTTTTAATTTCAAAAATACTAAATTGTAATAGTTTTCTTTTGCCAAATGTGTGCATACATATTCAAAGCAATGAAACTATTTCAAGCCATACAACCACAGGGGTGGGAACCCTTTTCACAAATTTTAATGTGTTTGTATGTAAATAGATGTTTGTATGAAATATTTTCATGATAGAATGAATATATTTAAATGAAGTTGAATTATTCCAGTGCTACTTAAACACATTACAAAAATTTTGGTGAGAATTATCTGAGTCTATTGAGATGTAATGCAGATCAATTTTGATTTTTAAAAATCAAAAGCCTACAATAACTCTGACTCTCAGCAACTTCCTCGGCGTTGTTGCACCTGACGTGGAGAGAGCTCGTAGGCTTCCCCAGTGCCTCAGCCGCTTCCTGGTGGAAGTTAGGTGCTAATGGAGGTGTGTTCACCTTTTAGTGATATCACTGCAGGCCTTTGAGGGGCCTGAGAGTGAATCAGAGGCATTAGAGACACCGGTGCAGTTATCTGGAGCACAATTTCTTTGCAGGGCAGCAGAATCAGAAGCCAGACTTGGCCATGTGAACCTCGAAACTGGGTTTCCCGGCCGCCATCAACCGTCACCCTTACTGCCTAGTCACAGACGTCAGGGAGGCTGCCCTCAGTGGAGTTGGGGTTCAGACCCCAGGGTGGGACTTCACAGTTTTGCCAGCAATCTCTACCTTCTGACTTCCGCCTCGCAGAGAGGAAGGAGAAGGGAGCATCTGGCAAGGGGCCCATTTCTCAGCACAGTACATTTCCTGTCTCAGCTCTGGAAGACTATGCACCCAAGCACCAAACTTCCAACCAGAGAGAGAGACGTCCTCCGATAACAAAAATCCTTGCTTCCTCTGTCTGTGACTTTACACACAGTTGTTCAAAGTTGTTAAATATCAAGACCAATCACATCCCTAGGACCTACCTCCCAACTCTCCTGACTCTTTTGTTATTGAAAAAACAAACAAACAAAAACTCCTTTATGATGATATTCAACTTGAGTGGGTATTTTTTTTCCCACTTTGGTCCTGGATATAATGAAATGATACATATTAGGATAAATTTTCACTGTGTATAGTAGCAATATGAACACACATGCCAATGTATCAACATATCTACTTGGTTACATTTTGGGTTACGATAATTAACCTTGATTCATGTATTGGGAAGCTACAGGGACTACGTAATGCCTGCTTATCACATAGGAAAATTATGTCCATAATTCTGAGCTCCCTTCTTCAAAAGTTTCCTCCTGGGTTTTCTATGTTCTCTCTTTATCCTGAAATACATTTATTAGGTTGTGAGGTATGTTTAAGGAGTAGAAGCCGGGGGTATGCTTTCGGCATTTATTGCAACCAAAAGTTAACCCCATCACAGTTAACGAGCATCTTTGGTCTCTTGTGGAATTTGAACTAAATCTATGAGCCTTATTCAATATCTATAATTCTATGATTTTTTTTAATTATGGGAAATTAATGAAAGATGTTTACATGAGTAATGTTTGCCCTTACTGTGTTATGAATGAGTTTTTTGTAGTGTGTCTGGGTGCATGATGCAAGAGAGTAGGAAAAATGTTTCTGAAACAAAACTTGACAAATATTTGTAATGAAAGTAAATTTAAAGATTGCTATAATTGCGCTATAGAAACAATGCAAGTATTAAACAAAATATACAATCATCTGTCGCTGTCTTCCTTTGATCATCTAGGTTAGAAAAGCAATAATGGTTTTCTTATAATGTGTCTACCTGTATATTTAAATTACTAAGTGAACTTTACATTTTAAGTTGTTTTAAAATATTATTAGCCATTTATCATTTTCAGAGCATTCTAGTAAGAGCTGAGGATGAGTCGGAAAAGTTTGGAGCTTGCTGTGTATTTGATATGATTCCACATACACCCATAAATCCAGAAGGATTAGCCACACCAACAGAAAGTGTCGGATTGAATACATACATGGTAAGGGTCTGGAATGCGAATGAGATGATCAGAGCAAATAGCTGAAAGACAGGAAATTCAATTCACGATTTAAAGAAAATATAAAAATTTTGTTAGATGTTGTGGTAGATTTTAGCAGTCTGAGGATGAGTCTGAGCTGAGAACCCTGGCAATCCCTTATTCTGGCCCTAATCACAGTCAACATTTCCTCTTTTTTTTTTTTTTTTTTTTTTTTTTTTGGTAATATGAGATGAAGTCTCACTCTCACCCAGGCTGGAGTGCAGTGGTGCAATCTTGGCTCACTGCAACCTCCACCTCTGGGATTCAAGGGATATTCCTGCCTCAGCCTCCCAAGTAGCTGGGATTACAGGCACATACCACCACACCCAGCTCATTTTTGTATTTTTAGTAAAGACAGGGTTTCACCATGTTGGCCAGTCTGGTCTCGAACTCCTGACCTCAAGTGATCCGCCTGCCTCAGCCTCCCAAAGTGCTAGAGTTACAGGCATGAGTCACCGCGCCCGGCCAATCAACATTTCTAAAGCACAAAAGCCAGTGACAAAGGGAGTCAACACACTACTTCATTATTAGCTGGGCCTTCTGCCCAGGACCCCAAAGAAGTTAATTCTAGGAAGTTTGGCAGGGCTACACGAGGCACAGTTAGGCCTCAAACTGAATTAGGCCATGAGATCTCCTGCTTTATTTTACCTCCCTCAGTTGCCCAATCCTTGATTTTATCAGACTTCCTTCCACAGAAGGAAGGAAACAGAAACGAGTGAGATGACTGAGTCCAAACTGATGTTGGATCAGCTTTTCCACCTGCACAGACACATTCTCATGCTAGATCTTTCAGGCAGGGCTTCACCCTCTAACACACATGGGTCAAATCGCAATATTAATATTCTTCCTCCTTGTGGGAACGAGGAATATAGGATTAAAAATTTAATACAAAGTGAGGTAAGCTTAAGAAGCTAACCTTGAAAGTGAAAGATACGGCAACTTTCATGGATTAAGATGATTGATTTGGGCCCAAAGGTTGTAGAATGAGGCAATGTGAAAATCAAGACAAAATTATGTTAGATCAAATTAGTAACCATCCTATCTATACTAATGGGATGGTTACTAGTATAGTATAGATGGGATGGTTACTAATATCTGCCTTTGGGTTTTTTAAATGTTTGGAATTATTCAGACTGCTAGTTTATATTAAATGTGAAATTATTTCAGCAGTCATCTCTAGAACTAGGTAACAGCTATCGAAAGACTATGCTATAGTTTCATTTAGTTTCAACTCAGCATCTCACTGATTTGGGGTTGTTCAGTAAAAAGGCTGTAAGTGAAAAATAAGAGGAAGAAGAGGAAATTCTGTTCCTCTTCTTGAAGCAGAAAAAAAAGAAAAAATAGAAAAGGGGGTTCTGCTCCAAAAGTAGTTCAGAAAATGACTGTTACCTTGCAGATAGATAGATAGATATAGATAGATGATAGATAGATATAGATAGATGATATAGATAGATAGATATAGATAGATGATGATTATATATAGATAGATAGAGATAGAGATAGGTAGATATAGATAGGTGATAGATATAGATAGAGTTAGATGATATATATAGATAGATAGAGATAGATGATAGATATAGACAGATAGAGATAGAGATAGATATAAATAGAGACAGAGATAGATGATAGATATAGAGATAGATAGATAGACAGATATAGATAGATCATGGTAATTCCCTCACAACATAGTGGTATGCTCGGTAAATGTGTTTTTCCTAAAGTTTTATTTATTTACAAAAACCGAAAGCCAGGGTTTTGAATTTAGAGCTTCACTTCTTATAATGTACATAGAAAACGATTAATGGATCCATCTAGATTGCTACCAAATTTTTACTTCTGTAAGTATCAGAATGCTTCCAGCTTCAAGAAACATCAAAGCCCAACTCAGTATGGCCTACGTAATAAAGAAGGTTTACTAATTCGCATAACAAGAAGTGCTGAGTATTCCTACAGTTAATACAGCAGCTCCACCAAGTTCTTCCCATCTTTCCACTCTGCCATTCTCAGCTTGTCTTCTTTGCCTTCAGGGGCTAGCTCACCTCACAGCCACGACATGGCTGCCCGGGTTTCAGCCATCACAGCCAATTTGGCAACATCCAATAGATGAAAAGGAAAATCTCTTCTATGGCCTCTCTCACTGAGAAAACCTAAGCCAATCACTGGCAATGGCTACAGGGGCACTATGATTATCTGAGTGAAGCATATGGCTGTGTAGCCTGAACCAGTGTGGGGCTCTCCCAGCAAGTAGGAAAGGGAAATGATAGTTGGGGTAACCACTCACAATGTCTGCCTCATCTGCATCATGAGTTTTGTTTTCTTATTTTCCTCAGAGAAGAAGAAAGGTTAGTCTCTTCAAATAAATAAATGGATTTAAAAAAAAATAATTCAAATCAATTTATCAGTAGGGGCTGTGGAGGAGTGTATACAAAGATATATTTATCTAGAGTTTATCAGGCAGTTTTAAGTGTTTTAGATTATTCATTTAATCTTTTCAACAACCATATGATATAGGTACCGTTACCACACCATTTTACAGGAAGAAAAACTGAGGCATAGAGATGTTAAGGTACATGGTCGCAGAACTAGGAAGCCATAGAGGCAGAGTCCGAAGCCGGGCAGCTGGGCTCCTGGCTGCTCTCCTAACCATACTTATGGGAGCTCTCTCTCCTACCCTTCTCTCTTCTTGCTCTCCATGGGTTAAGGCCAACCTTTAATATCTTGGTCTTCCTTGCCCTTGATCATCATCCACTTAGCCTACCAATCAGCTGATCTTTCTGACTGGGTCCCTCTTTGATCCAATCCATGCAACACACAGACCAGCTTCTTTTTTTTCTTTTTTTCTGAGACGGATTCTCACTCTTTCGCCCAGACTGGAGTGCAGTGGTGCGATTTCAGCTCATTGCAACCTCCGGCTCCCAAGTTCAAGCAACTCTCCTGCCTCAGGCTCCCGAGTAGCTGGGACTAGAGGAGCATGCCGCCACGCCCGGCTGATTATTTGTATTTTAGTGGAGATGGGGTTTCACCGTGTTGCCCAGGCTGGTCTCAAACTGAGCTCAAGCAATCCGCCCGCCTCAGTCTCCCAAAATGTTAGGATTACAGGCGTGAGCCACCGCTCCCCGCAAGACCAGCTTCTTATAATTTTATACTCAGCCCATTTCTATCCTGATCCCCAACTTCCACCTCCTCTGCCTGGGTTTCCAGCATAGCTTCTCCATCCCATCTTATTTCTCATCCTTTGCCTCCAACACGTGAAGCATCTTCCGTTATGGGGTTTCCCTCTTCCCGCCTCTGCTGCTCTCTTCCTGCCTCTCTGCTGTGGCAGAGGGAGGGTTGTGTGGTGGAAAGGACTTGGGATCTGGAGTCAGACTGGTTTCACCCGGCTTTGCCACTGTCTGTGTGATGTTGGGCTTTTGATTGCTCTCTGGCAAATATGGATTTGCTCTGGGGTTCAGAAGACTGTTTGCATGTCCTCTCTCTCTCTCTTCCTTCCTGTGCTCCAACCACACCCACCCCCTTGCAGTCCAGGAGAGCCAGGCTTGCCCCACTCTCAGGCATGTCTTTCTCCCAAAGAGCCACAGGCTTTGCCCTTGTGCCCTTCAAGTCTTTGCTGCATGAGGACTTCATTGACCACCCCACTTAAACTGCAACATTCTCCTCCCCCAGCATTCCAAGGCCACTTTACCCTCCTTTATTTTTCACCATGCTTCTCATTACCTTCTAGCATACCGAAGAATTTAGTTATATTATGTTGATTGTTGATTGTCTTTCTTCTCCCTCTAGCATAGACAGGGATTTTAGTTCATTTTATTCACTAACATATCCTTAACATTTGATACACAGTAAGCACTCAATAAATACTTGTAGAGTGAATGCATGAATGGAAGTCAGTAGATTGTAATGATTAGGAGAATTTTGGTAACTGTCTTAGGTTGAAATCCCAGCCTTGCCATTTCTAGCTATATGACATAACTTCTTTGTGCCTGTTTTTTTCTATTTGTAAAATTAAACTATAATGATAACTGGGGGGGGGGGGGGAGATTTAATTTTGACCCATGGAGTGAGCTCACTAACTTTGTCCCGCCTGCTCTGGGATGGGATGCCACCTTTCCAGGCATAGCCACAACCTGCCTCCTTCCAAGCAGTCCCCCAGGAAGCCTGGCCTGACTCTTCGGGACCTGCCCTGTCCCTGCTGCTCTGTCACATGCAGATGGACACTGCCAGACCATTATTGTGTGTTCTCGATTGTTTAATGAGTGAAGCATCTAGCTGGCGGCTCCCTTAGATGACAGGCTCTGAGGGGATCACTAGGCATATCTTCCTGAATGTGCACAAAGCACTTTCTAGGCATGTGATGTGGGAATGACTGAGCTAGAGTACCTTTATTTATTTATTTATTTGGGGGTTTTTTTTTGGAATACTTTTTAAAATATATATTTCAATAGCTTTTGGGGTACAAGTGGTTTTTTGTTACATGGATGAATTATACAGTGGTGAATTCTGAAATGTTAGTGCAGCTATCACTTGAGTAACATACATTGTACCTAATATGTACATTTTTATCCCTAGCTCCCTCCCACCCTCCCCCATCTGAGTCTCTGAAGTCCATTATGTCACTCTGAATGCCTCTGCGTACTCATAGCTTAGCTCCCACTTATAAGTGAAAACATAACGGGTTTTGGTTT